AATAATCAAGTAAATGTGAAAAATTGTAAAATAATATAGGCCTAATTTGTTATACATATGTATTATCTAAGATTTTATTAAACATTTTTTTCTAAATTATTGTTTTCTTTAGTCTCCGGCCCCAATTAAAAATTATTTGTATGTATTTATATGCGAAATTATACCCCGACTTACGCGGTTACCGCTTGGTCCCACCTATCGCGTAAGTTCGGGGTATTACTGTATATTAAATATTCTAGCGTAAAATATTAGAGAATTATTACTAATCTTTTAGATTAATTACTAAAAATTTAATAATTTGAAGGTACAGTACTGTACATACAGATTTATTATGTAGTTTGAACGAAAGAAAAGCTATTTATAAATCAATCGAATTAATTGAATTCAACAAAAATTTATATAAAAAACGGTAAATCTAAACGAATAGATTTCAAGTTAGAAATTTGTTTACACAGACCAAAAAAACGAAATAATACTTCCTTTTTTCTAGACGTTCCGATTTAAAACAGCGTCGAAATACAAAGTAGAAATGTTGGAATTTTTGGAGAGATTTCCTCCTGGAGATAGTGTTTAATAATAGAAAAACTAACAATTCGAAGTAATAAGTACTCGTATGACATCTCGAAAATCTATCGCGCACTACGCCAAATTTTTACATCAAAGCATTAAATCGCACGGTTAAATTTCAACTTCTAATTGTATATTTTACGTATAACTTGTTATTTTATGTTATTAGATTATAAATTCGAAATCAGAATAATATTAAAAGTTAAAATTGTTTTTTAAAAATTTATTTTCAATTTCATTTGCATATTTCCGCGTCTCATAGTTGTGTCATTTAATATCATATGGTTATGTAAATTACGTTTCTTGATGAAAGTGATGTACTGTACTGTACATCTTCGATTCTGTAATGTTTCCCCCCTGAACTCTTTCCGTTCTGTGGGCACTAACAAGTAAGAGGGCGGGCCTCTTTTAGCAAGCCCATTATGGGTTCGGCCAGACCCACAATGGGGGCGGCCGGATGGTGAGGAACGGAGTCCAATATATTCGGAAGGACCATCCTGAAAAATTCCTGGGGATTTTTCGACCCGTCCGGAGTCGATTCTGGGACCTCCAAAGCATTAGCAGCCACCTTAACCGCTCGGCCATCCTGCTTGCTAATATTATGATATTGGTTAATGATGCATTATCTTTGTTAAAATTTTTAATTAAAACATTAAAAAATTTTATATAATTGTTGACATCAATAATTTTAAAAATATCTGAAATATAAAGATTTTTATGTTTTAAAATAATTTATTAATAAAATTGACCGCAACTGGCGTATTAATCGTCGAATGGCGTTGGATTCAAAAAGTTGTGAATGCTAGACAAAAGTGTTGAAATTATCATATTCATTGGTTAATTTTTACAAAATAGTGATTTATAATTTACAAACAAATCTAGATAATCTTCTTTACGACATATGTGAGTAGTATATAAATAATACATGTGTTGACAATTAATAATTTATAAATTTTTCTTCTAGGCATATTAAGCCTAACATTAGGCTTAATGGTTACTATAGCAACAACAGCTGATTTACATTATGTTAAATCCATCATTTCTCCATAATTATGTAATTGAATAATTAGATACAGCAAAAAACGAAAAAAGCAATAATGATTGTATCTTGTCAGTAAAATGCCAATTGTTTATGATAAAAGTAAAATACAGTTTTCTAAAATTATCTTAAAATTTTGTGGAGAAAGTAGTAAATTTTTATTACTGTGAAAAGACATTAGTTCATATTAAATGAGAAAAATAAAATAATTACATGAAAATATATAATATTTTTTATTATTTAAATTTGACATATAAATAAATAAAGCAATTACATATATATAAATGATTTTTCAACAAAACAATTAAAAAGAATGTTTTAAAATAAACAGATTGAAATTTGACATTATTAAACTAAGTATGAAAGTTGATTATAATTCCATAATATTTTTTAACATTTTTTTTTATTTAGTGCAAATGTGAAATGACTAATTTTTTTAGAAATATTTTAAAATTGAGAGAGATTAATACAAGATATTCAGAGTTGCTATGTTTGTGATATGGTGCACAGTGGCTTTTTGATCACCCTGTGTTGTATTTGCAATATAATTTAAATATTATAGTAGATGAAATGTACTATATTTATAATTATTTTTGTATACAGTTCCAGCTTTTTAAAGCAGGAATTATATAAGTGGTGTTAAAAATGTGAAGTTTAATATTAGATTACTTTTATAATTCCTATCTTTAATTTATTTCATTTATTTATTTTCTTAGAATCTTTGTGATATTTTATTATAAATATGGTAATTTTAAAATGTATGATGATATAAAAATATTTTATGTGGTCAAACCTCAGTTTCTGAACAAACTGGTTCGTGAACAGAATTTAAAACTCATATTTTGCCCCAGTTGCCTAACAAGCTACTTGGCAAGAGCCGAATACAGATTAGAGAGAGACAGATGGTCAACTTCCTATATTTCCTACGTTAAAGAAAGTATATGGCCTGACCAATCAGTGACAAGATTACCAATTCAGAAGTTAGTGCCACCAAGACCACCTTGCATAATCAGATGTCACAACACAAATCATTGATGACATTGCTATTTAAATTAGATATCAATGTGCATGTGGGAAAGATACTACTACTGTTTTTAGGTATTTTTGCAGTTGACTTCAAATCAAATTAATAAAAATTTCATTAATTGACATTCACATAATATAAATGGCATTCAAAAGTTTGTCTTTAAAGGTGCTTAAGTCAAATTAAATAACAAAAATTTATTATATGTAATACAGTATTATATTACAAGGGTGCCCAGACTTTTTGCTGTAAAAGCCCTAGTTACCTACCTAAAAATATTGGGAGCCGCACCTAATGTTCTTTATAAAAATAAAAAAAATTTAGAATCATAATGTATTTAGTTTTACATATTTATTGCATTTTTTTTATTTACTCTTTGCGACAACTAGCAAAAGCAGAATGAATTTGTAATGTTTGTAATGAAATTTTAAAAAAGTCTATATATAGAAAAATGAATGTATGTCTGTCTGTCTGTCTGTCCTTCATGCATTATCACACCGTTTATCCGATTGCCATGAAACTTTGGGAAGTTGTTTAATACACTCCAGCAAAGGTTTCTGGCATAGTACATTTATCCTATGATAGATGGCGCGAGTGTATACGAGCATTTTATCATGAGTTCAATCAATTTCAAATTGTGAAGACTATTTCCCCCCTCCAAAAAATATCTCTATATATGCATTTGTGAACTGTTATTTACAATATTTGTAATAATTTTTGTTTAATTACTTTATTTCAACTATTTTTTGCTAATTATGTATTCGCTCGAACTTCGTTAAAACCTTAACTGTATCCCAAACAATAACTGAAGTTGTAGGAGGAAATTCGCCTATTTTACCGATCTAGGGATCCCCCTTTTCCAAATTTTAATATCAACTCAAAATAATTTAAAAATTCAAATTACAATAAAACTGTTTATTATCCAACTATCAGAAATTTCACAACATGCCAAGGAAGAGAGGAAGGAGCAATTAAATAATTAAAATTGTAAAGGATTAAAAAAATATATAAAAATGGGGAATATCACACTTCTGACAATCGCTGCGAGTGTGTGGGCTAAATTTGGAGAATCCGTGCTTCTCGCATGGACAACTGTATGTGGCCAGCTCACGCGTCGGAAAACCTTCTGATTTATTCATGTACGCACCAGACAGAAAAACAAAAAATATCGTGTATCCACAAGCACTCCAATAAATAAATAGAAGTGAAACGACACTTTGAAATGTTTTCCCAATGAAAATGAATAATAATAATAATATAATAATAATAAGTTTCAATAAAAATGATAAAATGGAAATTGAATTTTATTATAACGAGTTTGCTTGAATTTCGTTTCTTCTGAGATCACAGCAATGCATGATGGGTAATCTAGTAACAAATATTTTTTATTTATTAGTTGAGCCACAGTTAAGCTTTTGAAGAGCTGCATGCAGCTCTCAAGCCATAGGTTTGGCATTGTTGTTATATTATATACAATATTACATTGCATTTGTAGTCATTTTTAGCATGAAATACAGCTAAAAAATAAAATAAGGCTTTATTTTGAGGGTCAGGAACAGATTAATCCACTTTGTATTCTTTCTTGTGGGAAAATTTGTTTTGGTTTTAGAACAACTTTTAGGAATAAATTATGGTCTGATTGTATATTTTTAAATTGTTTATAATTTAAAAATGTATTGTAAACAAACAATTTATATGTAAACAGTTTTATAAAAAAAACAAATTTATATTATACAGTCAACTCCCCTGTAACACGGTAGATAGTTCTGAGTTTTATGAATCCAGCTTCTAGGAGTCCAGTTAATCACAGCCCGGCACGTATGCAGTTTATGGACTACGGCTGTTTGAAAGGTTTCTTTCATAAAATTAATCGATTCTAGACTAATTCGACTCAACATTTCCAAAATACATATAATTTTTTGGGAATAATCCATATAAACTATGCTATAAACAAAAAATTGTAGGATTACTTACTGAGTGTGCACCGTCCAACTACGCCGTTGCTTAAGCTTGTTTTCGTTGTGGAGATTGTCATCGAATGGTGCTCGCGTGCTTCCTGATAAATTATTTTTTTCGCGAAAAATTCGCTGAACTTTAGAGACATCATTAATATAAATATAATTTTTATGGACATTAAATAATAAATGGTTTTTAGTAGGTCAGCTGCTCCTTTAAACTCAACGGTTTGTGCAATCCTGTCGTGACACGAGTCGGTGATGACGTTTTACCGAATTATAGGAGTTTTTTTAGCATGTTTGTATGAATACTGTCGCAATTTTTTGCCATGATATAGGAATCCGAACTATAGGAACCCATGTTATAGGGGGGTTCAACTGTATATATTTATACATATCATTATGTATGCATTAGCTATACATATCATTATGATATGTATAGCTAACTCATCATAGCCTGAGTTAGCTATACATATCATTATGTATAAATATACTGTATATAAGTGATATGTATTTATACACACTACACATAATAAATTTGACTGTAATATTTAGCAATTTTTTAATAAAATGATGATAAATATTTTGGATATTTATTCATTCAAAGCTTTTATGATTGAGATAGCAATCTTTTAATTTATATTTCATTTTTTGATGATCTCATAATTGGTCTTGGTTAGAATGAAGTTTTGTAGATGTACACATAATGTATATATTTAGGCTGCTTATAATGTATAAATATATCTAAAATTCATATAATAGTATTATAGTAGATTATCAAACTCTGCACTTAATCAATATTCAGCAAGAAGAAACTACAAGAAAGCAAATGTTTTCATCTATGTTTAATGGACATTATCAGGCTAGAGTTAGCCTGACGATGCCTATTAAACACAGATGAACAGGGTTGACCTCGAGAAAATGCAGGGTCTGCTGCAAAGTTGTCATGTGGAGCCTTTAATAATAAAAAAAAAACTAGTTTTGAACAAAATAATATTTTAATAGTAAACATACGTGGTATCATCTGTTAAATAGATAAACAAAAATAGTTTAATTAGTGAATAATGAAATGATCAATTTTTAAATTTTGCAAGAGTTGGATCATGCAGGATTGCAGGTCCTTATATAGACTCACCATTCACACCATCCTCTGGCTGGCCATACAGAAGAAAATGATTTAGAATGATGATGAAAGGGAGCCTGATGTGCCTGTTAAACATGGATGAAAATGTTTACTTTCTTGTTGTTTCTTTCTTCTCATTGGTTATTATGCAGTTTATTAATGTATACCCAATTTTCAGTAGTTGAATTTACAGTAGATTATGCAGCCAGCTTATTTTTACATTGTCATGAAGCAGTACGGCAACTAATGCACTTGAACTCTCTATAAAAACTCACCTTTAAAACAATGGTTTTCAATCTGTGCACTGTAAACTTCTCCTAGGGATAAAAAAAATTTTAAAAAATATACCAATTGTTTCTTTCCTTTTTAATTATGTATATACACCATATTTACTTGCATATAAGATGGGGTTTTAGTTAATTTATCACAGCTTCAAATTCCAAGGTCATCCTATATGGGTGAGTGAAAGATTCTTCGCGTTTTTGCAAATAATTTTTGTGAACCATGTATTTGCATTTTTTTTACCAGATGCTTACCCTCTTGAATTTAAAAAGATAAGTATTTTATCTGGGTCATTTGAATCATTCTTGTATATTGTCAGGAGTAAAGATGAATAGCAATAGGAAAAACAAAACTTTTGAATTGAATTCCAAACAAAAATTCCAAAATCACATGGGAACCCAACATAAGTTTTAATCCGTTCCATTGCGAAAATGGATGATTATTTGGAAATCAGAATTTGAGGAATGATGATGCAATATC